GGATTCAGGAAGAAATCATCCTCTATAAAATTTGGTCTAGGATTCACCGGTGGCAACAACAACAAAGACAAAATCGTCTTTGTCAAAGCTTCTGGACCAGATCCAGAAGATATTCCTGAGTCAACTTCAAAGCCTCTAGACCAGATCCAGAAGATATTCCTGAGTCAAGTTCAGCGAGACAGAATCACGGTAAAGTAAGGGACAATAAACTTAGATATAAATGTTATAACCCTAGTTGTCATTATTGCAGGGTTCTTGGTCATACTAGACCTGAGTGCTTTTATTTTTACAAAGATCAAAGGCGTGAAAAGTTCACCCACAAACATATTGCACCGTTTGTAAAACAAGTGTGGGTTAGGAAAATTGATTTCCTCTCTCAGACAATTTCTAAAACATCTCAAATTGATAATTGGCAAACTACGGATTAAGGGTTGCAATTGAAAATAACAGGTATGTTAATTTACTATTTTATTTTATTTGTTATTTCTAATAAGGTTGTTTGCTTTTCAGGAACAGGATTAATACTTTATCAACCAAGGGATTTTTTAATTTGCTTTGACTTCTAATCCTTATAATTTATTTATTTATTTATTGCTCTATCAATTTGATTCAACTTCAAGTTTATGTATGCAATTTGTGCTTTCATTATCTGCTCATTTAAATGTGCCTAAGATGAATTTTTCCTGATATTATGTGCGTACTTGTATTTGAACTTATTTTGGATGTTTTTGTGTGTTCATTAAATATCCCTATCGTTTGGTCGAATATTGTGTACCTATTTATCTGCTCCAATGATTGATGTCTGAATTTGAAATTATTGATTATTTTATGTTATCTGATTGCTTTTTCTCTGTGTTATTTGTTTGGTCCGGTCATGACAGTGTGTATTTTTGTGTGTGTGTTTTCAGTGCTATCTGTTATGAATCTGTACTTGAATCTGCTTTATATGAATTTGTGTTTGAATGTGTTTACTCCTTAGATAAGCTTTATTTACTTTATCTGCTCCAACATGATTTTTGTGTTTATATGTGCTTATGTGTTATTTGCTTAATTGTTATCAAGTTTTGCGTTTCTCATTTCTAATTTTCTTGTGCAGGTTCAGTCCAATCGGGCACTCCGTCAGACTCAATCCACTACAGATGTTCACCTTTTTCAATTTATTAACAAAAAGGGGGAGTATATACTAAGGGGGAGTATGATTGGAATAAGGGAGAGAATCTGGGATCTTTGGTTGAAGTACGCCTTGTGTTGGTATGTTGTATTGGTATGTTTGGAAATCTGCTAATCTGGGTAATTTCTCCTGCTTTATTGACAGCTTCTTTATTTGGATGATTAAGCTTTTATTTAGCTTGTCTATCTCTTTCTGGTTTTCTGGGCATCTTTTATTATTGAGCGACTTTCAAACATTGAAATTTTGTTGGAAGATATTTCTATACAGCTTACTTGTTGAGTATGAAGCCTTATGGATGGAACATGATCCAATGTGTCTTGGTAATTGTCAATAAATTCTAAATCATAGGATCTTTTGTCAAGCACATATACTAAGGACTATTTTTAATGAAATTATTTAAATTAACTATTGATCTTTGCCCTAAGTATATATGCCTTAGTTTTTGCCAAATAAATTGTCAAAGGGGGAGATCGTAAGTGTAAAATTTAATACACATTAAAACCCTATTTATTGGCTAATTTATTTGTCAATATATATTAGCATTTAGTTTTAGATTTAACCTTGAACACTTGGACCGTATCCTATCATGTCTACTACCACTAAACAGTGTCTGGAGCAAAATGCATGGTTATATGGTTTATTATGGCAGTCAATGGGTTTATGGAATCAAAGCTATATTTAAGGAATTAATTATTATGGTCATGGTATATTTCAAGTGAGTGGACATCATTATTTTGGGAGAAAGTTTGTTGAAGGCAATTCACTATAAAAGAAACACTTTCCTCTTTGAAGATTACGAATTCCCATGCTATTATATTGTTAGAGAAATTTCCAAACACTCCAGTATATTAATTTTGGTTTCTATATTGATTGAAAACTGAGATCATGCCTGGCACAGTCAGTCTGAACTTGGTTCAACGGCATCAACTGGTGAAGTCAAAGATGGCATGCACGCTCCAATTCTGTGAAAGATGTTTTGAAGGTTGTAGTGGTTGTAGTGGCTGTTAGCCTTTTGTACGAACCCTTTGTAACACCTTGGTGAACATCTAGTGGATTGGACTGACGTGGATTGCCCTGCAGACGTAGGTGAAGTGCTTTGAACTGCGTGATCAATTCTTGTGTACTTGGGTTATTTCTTGCCTTTTATTTTGTTAATTACTTTGTCTAAATGACTTCATTAATCAGTACGATAATTCCTAATCTAAAACCAAGTAGAAATTTAAGTTGTAATTTGAATTCAAGATTCACGGCACAATTTCACTACGAAACTGACATTATATGCATACAAATATGCTTAATTTTATATGTATATGGAACCGACCTATTAGTATGCTTTTAAAAAAAAAATAGTATGCTTTAAAAAAAAAAAAAAAAAAAAAAAAAAAAAGATATAACGTTGGTTCCTGCTAGGATTATTATTATTATTATTATTATTATTATTATTATTATTATTATTATTATTATTATTATTATAAATGAGCATATTAGCTCACTTTAAAAAATAAAATAAACATACAACGTTAGTTCCTAGAAGAAACTGACGTTGTATCTGTAATTCTTTTTTATTTTTAAATAAATGATCATAAATGTCGGTTTCATGGGAACCGGCCTAAAATGCTCAATTAAAAAAAATTTAAACATATAACGCCAGTTATTTAAATAACCGACGTAAAAATTAAAGTAATATATATTATTTTTTATTTAGTTTCTTGACATTTGACGTCAATTTTTGAATAATCGACATTATATGTTATATCTGTATTAGTGATAATAGATATTGTAATACTTATAACTAAAAGTCTAAAATTGTGATACTTACAAAGTGTGTCTTCATTGAGCATCTCACCTGGTTTTCTACAACTTGACCCATATCACGGATAAGGATCTGTGAGACTGTTTCACACAAGTTTTTGTACGCACCATTAGTTAAAAAAGAAAGTTAATTACCCAAAAATGTCATGTAACAAGGGGAAGATTGTAAGAGAAAATTTTGGATGGGTGGGTTTCTCACTCTCGTTATAAATATTATATGAAGATGACCAATTCAGGCTAATGCAGCTACGTTGAAGTTAAAGAGAATTCACTATTAATATTGTTGACCCGAATGTTCGTAGGTGGTAGCATATATCCCGACCGACACAACTCGGCTTCTCCCGTTCTTTGTGCAGGTTTTGCAGGTCGGACCTGACCGGCGGACTTCCCGACTGGGGTTTTAGCACCCGTTCGGTGGGCCTTACCTTACGAATAGAGCCAAGCATCTCGAGAAGAGGCACATGGCAGTGTTACACGTTGACAGAGAGGGCTCTATGGGGAAGACGCGTGGAGGCTACGTGGGTTACATGCCGGCCGGCCGGAGGTGTGTCTCTGGCCTAGCGGCTATAAATACCCACGGCGGCTACAGTGAGGGGGACTTTTGGACGATCGACAGATTATCTACAGAGCTGCCCGACCGCAGTCAGTCGGCTCTCGGGATAATCACCTAGATTGTATTAGGTCCTTCTTGATCAATAAAATATTTCTATTTATTATTACTTAATCTCATTTAAGTACTTGGACCGCTTAACACGTGGAATTAGTACTATCATTTTTGCGTTGTCTGTGCGGACCGGGTACGAAAGCTATCGTAGACAAGTACCAGATCCTTCTTATCACCATGTTTCCATTCATGTATCAAGCACCCGAGCATGAGCAAGCGGACGCAGCAAGTTCATCCGACCACCAGCGTACACAGTATCAAGGTCAGACAGTTGACCTGAACCTCAACTTATCACCACCACGATCGGTCGCCCGAACCCGATCAATTATATTCAACCAATGTATCCAACGCCTGGGCAGCAATATCCGTTCCCGACGAGTTATCCATATCCAATTCCACCTCCTCAATATGGGTGTTGGCTTGGGACACTGATATATTATCCACCACCAACCGGTTATCCGCAATTTATGCCTGCGTACACGGCTCCAGCTTCCGTTCCCCCGAATTACCCGACCACGTCGACCGAGCCGGAGCTTCAGCCCGCTCCCCGGGCTAGGCGCTCGGCTCGTTCGAGGTTGGGGTCGCAGGGGGCCGAGGTCATGGAGGAACCACGGCAGGCTCCACATGTTCAGCCGAAAACACACGCTCAGGTGGCAGAAGACCCTGAGATAGAAGCCAACCGGGCGATAGCATTCGAACGGCTCCGACCAGCAATGCGGCAAAGATTGGGATCGCAGGATCCAAACAGGCGCTCAGTTGATCCGCCCATGCGAGCGGCCAGCCAGGAGGGATCGTCCGGGCATAGCGGGTCAAAATCACATCGACGACGCCGGGGTTGGGAACCAGCCCAAACGGTCGTACAATACGAAACCCGAGGAATGCTGAACGAACTCCGGGCAGAATTCACTCGCTGGCAGAACGAGCACGCTGTAAGGCCTCCTACCGATCATACATCCTCGTTATTGAGGACACCCTTCACGGCGGAGATCATGGCTCAGCCTTACCCGCTCGATTTGCGCATCCCCGGGAATAAGGAATATGATGGGCGGACAGACCCAGAAGTTCATGTCAATACATACTATAGCAATATGATGATGATGGGCGTGACTGACGCCGTGATGTGCCGAGCCTTCTACTCAACGCTTTCTGGTCGAGCGGCCGAGTGGTTCAGAACCTTGCAACCGGGATCCATTTCTGATTTCGCCAGTTTGGCGACCAAGTTCATGCGGACGTTTGCACTTCCAAAGTGATCCGGAAGCCTTACATGTATCTTGAGAAGGCTAAGCAGCTGGAAGGAGAGAGCTTGACCGAATTCCTAGTCAAGTGGAAGGCGCGGTCGGGGAAGTTGAGCCTATGGACGACCTGACGGCCATTCACACGGTGCACATTTCTCTACGGGCCGGTTATCTGTACCAAGATTTTATACTTCACCCGCCTGCCACTTATGAAGAAGCCATCCGTAGAGTGACGGATTATGCCAACGTCGGTGAGGCAAATGCCGTCAAGAGGTCACAAGAGGTCGGCACATCGTCTCGAAATCCTTCTGGCCGGGCGGATCATCGGTCGGTTGAAGATCGTCCCCGACCCCGAACCCGACCGGGAGAGTTCACGGCATTAAACCGATCTGCGGCGGAAGCCATGCAATACGCCCAATCTTCTAATCTTATTCGTCTACCTCATCCCGGGCCGGATGGGAAGGATAAGTCGAAGCATTGCGCTTATCATCGATGTGCCGGGCATGACACGGAGGAATGCACGCATTTAAAACAGCTGCTGGAAGATTTACTCCAATTGGGGAAGTTAGATAAGTGTGTTGGCAAGAGAGTAGAGAACAAAAAAACGAGCGAAAGAAAAGATCATAGGCGGTCTCATCATCGTTCTGACCGATTGGATCAGGACCGAAGGGATCCCGATCCCCCGTCAGATGGACGATCAGCATCCAAACCGACCATCCATGTTATATTTGGGGGTTTGGAAGATGCTTCCCAGGCTCGGGAAAGTTGTCCGATCGCGATCATTGACTCCCGGGAAACCGGTAAGAGGCAAAAGATGGAATCAATAACCTTCTCTCTAGAAGACCAGCCGGAAAGCGGAGACAATGGGATGGAAGCCCTTGTTGTCACGATTGATATTATGGGAACCGATGTCCAAAGAGTAATGGTGGACACCGGGAGCAGTGTGAACGTCCTTTATTTGGACGTGTTTGAGAAGCTAAAATTGGACAAGCGAGAGCTGATTCCGGTCGGCGTGCCCTTGTCAGGATTTACCGGGGCTACCATTCGCCTTGAGGGAAATATTGTGCTCCCGGTTGAGCTTAGAACCCCACCAAGATCAGTAAAGACAGAGTTGGAATTTTGTGGTGGTCAACCTTCATTGTGTTCACAATGCCATCTTGGGCCGACCGGCTATTATGAGGGTCGGTGGAATCATTTCAATGCCTTATTTATGCATGAAATTCCCAACCCCGGCCGGCGTCGGAGTTTTACGAGGTGATGTGAAATCGGCGAGAAAATGTTATTCCCGGGCCGTCAATCGGCGTGATGCCAGTTCTTCTCGAGTGAACACTATCGTTAAGGAAGCCGTCAAACATCGGAAGGAACAACCCGAGCCCTTTGAGGAAATAGAGGAGTTTCCTTTGTCTGAGGAGCGACCGGAGAGCTAGATAAAGATCTGTCGGGCCCTCACCCCTGAATTACGACTGCAAGTGTTGGCGATCCTCCGAGAATTCACTAATATATTTGCCCGGGATTGATCGAACTGTAATCTGCCACAAGTTAGCTGTAGATCCCGCGGCTAAACCAGTCGTCCAGAAGACTCGGCATTTATCTTCCGATCGCCGAGAGTTCGTTCGAGAAGAGGTGAAGAAAATGGCTGCAATTGGGCACATCCGCCCGGTCACTTATCCCGAATGGGTGGCCAACATTGTACTCGTTCCAAAGCCTCCGTCCTGGAGGATGTGCATTGACTTCACCGACTTGAAAAAAGCATGCCCGCTAGATCCTTACCCGTTGCCGAGCATCCATCAGATGGTCGATGAGACGGCCTTTGTCACACCTGACGGGTTGTATTGCTACCTGATTATGCCGTTTGGCCTCCGAAATGCGGGAGCGACTTATCAACGGATGATCAATATGCTCTTTGAGGGCCTACTAGGCCGAACGATGGAAGCTTATATCGACGATATGCTGGTGAAGAGTCGGGACCGAGCGAATCATACTCGGGATCTCCGACAGTGCTTCCAAATCATGCGGAAATACCAGCTACGTTTGAATCCCAACAAGTGCACATTTGCCAAACGGGAAAATTCCTTAGCTACATGATGACCAAAAGAGGAATCGAGCCCAACCCCGCTAAGGTCAAAGCAATTCTTGATATGCAGCCGCCCACGACCGTTCGAGAGGTGCAACAACTGAACGGGAGATTAGCAGCCCTGAGCCAATTTCTTTCAAAATTGGCCGAGCGTGCTTTACCGTTCTTTAAGGTACTGCAAAAGGTCAATGGGTTCGTATGGGATGATGAATGCCGAACGGCTTTTGATGAGCTGAAGGAATATCTGATGTCACCGATCGTCTTGTCAAAGCCCAAGCTCGGGGAAGAGCTAGACGTCTATTTAGCTGTTTCCGATCAAGCTGTCAGTGCGGTGTTATGCCGAACAGATTCGGAGGGGGTGCAACGACCGGTTTACTATGTGAGCCACGCGCTCCATGGTCCCGAGCTCCGTTACTCCCGGCTGGAAAAGATAGTCTACGCTTTGTATGCAGCAGCTAAGAAGTTGGCCCCTTATTTTCAAGGTCGAGCCATTCATGTGCTAACCGATCAGCCAATCGGGGCAGTACTCCGTACCGCTTCTTCTTCCGGACGCTTAGTCAAATGAGCATTGATGTTAACGCAGTATGCCATTGAATACCGACTGAGACCAGACATTAAAGGCCAAGCTTTAGCTGATTTTTTGGTCGAGTGCACCGCTCGGGAGACACGACCTCCAGAAGTGGAAGATCCCGAGGCGGCATGGTGGTCGTTGGCTACCGATGGGTCGAGTAGCAAGAAAGGAGCAGGCGGAGGAGTCGTGAACGAGCCCGGAGGGCTTCAAAGTGTATTATGCCCTGATGTATCAATTCAATCCGACCAATAATGAAGTCGAATATGAAGCGTTTGTCAACGGCTTGCAGTGCGCTCGGGAATTGGGGGCTGAATACATCCGGGCGCAAACTGACTTTGCATTGGTGGTCGGGCAAGTCTTGGGCGATTACAAGCTTATCGAGATCTGGCCATGGAAAAGCTTAGTTTGTTCCGGGCGTATGCCGTTCGTCATGTTCCCCGGTTGGATAATGCCGATGCAGACATCTTATCCAAGTTGGCGCAGGATGCCCCTGAGCATATGTCGAAAATCGCTCGGATTCTGATGATTCCAAGACACAGTATTCACCGCTTGCCGGTCGCGCCTATCCAACCGGCCGAAGAAACTTGGATTTCTAATCTAATGGAGTATCTTCAACATGGTCGTTTACCGGATGATCCTCAACGCGCTCGAAAGGCGAAGTTAAGGGCTCCGAGATTCCAGGTCCAAGGCGATCGTTTGTATAGACAGTCGTATGGGGATCCTTTGCAGAGATGTTTGAATTCTTTTTAAGCTAATTTGTTCATGAACGAGTTGCACTCGGGCATATGTTCATCTCATCAAGGAGGTCGATCGCTTTCCCGGCGTATCATAGTGATCGGGTACTACTGGCCGTCCATTCAGCTTGATTGTGAAAAGCTCGCTAAGAGTTGTGAAACATGCCAGTTATACGCCCGGATGCCTGGCCGTCCGGCTACGTTTTACCGGCTGATCACGACCGCGATTTCTTTTGCTCGTTGGGGGGTGGACATCTTGGGACCTTTTCCGCAGTTATCCGGTCGAAGGCGCTTTGTCATTATGGCCATTGACTATTTCTCCAAGTGGATCGAGGCCGAGCCTTTAGCCACGATCACTTCTCAACAGTGCGCCCGGTTTTTATGGCGGAATGTTATTTCCCGGTTCGGCGTGCCAGTTCATTGTTTCAGTGACAACGTTCGGCAATTTGTAAGCCAGTACTTTCAAAATTTCTTGGCAACGATCGGGACAACCTCAATCCGATCGTCAGTGGCTTACCCGCAAGGAAATGGACAAGTAGAGAACGCCAACCGAACAATCTTGGAGGGTTTGAAGAAAAAGTTGCACTCAGCCGGTCATAGTTGGGCTGACGAGCTACCATACATGCTCTGGACATATCGCACGACCCCTAGAGAGGCGACGTTGGAACGCCATTTGCTTTAGTTTATGGCGCTGAAGCACGGTTACCGATTGAAGCATGGATCCCGACCGCCAGAGAGCGATCTTATAATGTGGAAGAGAATGAACACTCTATGGCCGTGGATCTAGACGGCGTTGAAGAGAAGAGGGAAATTGTGGCTCGGCGCATGGCCGAATACCAGAAGAGGGTCAAGAGCACAAAAGACATCCGGGTTCACCCACACTATTTTCAAGTCGGAGACTATGTACTACGACGTCGAGAGGCGAGCCAACCATTGGAAGGAGGCAAATTGGCCCAGAATTGGGAAGGCCCCTATATAATCACGACCGTAGTTCGCCCGGGCACTTACCAATTGGAGACAATGACCGGAAGAATAATCGAGGATACATGGAACTCAGAAAATCTAGTCTTATTTAGGCATTGATGTACCCGTGTAAATTCGAATGGAGTGGGAGCTCAACCTGCGAGTGAGCAGGTCCATCTTTGATCGTGTTTATAGAGTATGTATATATGTATCCATCTGCGTACGGGAATGAAGATGTATCGCCGATCGATGATTGCTTGACCGTTTGCACACGGCGGCTCGATCAGCTCACAACTTATGTAAATAGTCAGTAGTTCGGTTAAATCTACTTCAGAAGTTGTTTTGATCGAGCTTCGCCCGACTGAGACTCAGCATCAACGACCGGCAGGGGCGAATAGCCCCACGACCACAATGTCGCTTAAACTTGCCCGATTATACCGGGGTCTAATCTCATATACAACTGATCAAGGTACACACCTCTCCCCCGGTCCCGACCGATAGGGGTATACACCTAATGGACTTAAAAGTCATCTGTATTTCGGCCGGACAACTAACACCGCCCGGCTTACAGCGCTCATCTTCGGCGGACATTCGGGTCACGCCATCGATCGGGAATAACAAAGCTCCAGACATTTTGTACCCGATCAGCTTCACTTGCCACTGTCGCACTCACTCGTGCCTCGTGGGCACGAAAGTGTGGGGGCTAGGGTGAATGAAGGGCCAAAGGGCCACCTTGGTACGACCGACTGAAGTTGCAAAAGGTCGAACGAAAACGATCAAACTAAAAGTGCATATAAAACGTAATGAACGGAGGTTGACAAAAGGTTAATTTATTTAAACGATAAAAGTTGTCCCGTACAAACAGGACCGGACTCCCGACGGAGTGCAGTTCACTACAATTCAAAAAATTGTTACATAAACGGTCGGACACTACACGACCTTCTCTACGGTCTTCTCGCTGACGCTTGGCTCGGCCGTGGCATCAGAGGCAGACGGATCGGAGAAAGGGGCCAGGCCGGGGTCAGGAACTTCGTCCGGGAGGGTTGACAGCACAGACTTGAGGTCATCACCATAAAAAACCTCCTCCATAATGGAACGAGTTTCTTCTCGCATAGCCCGTTGCCCAGATTTAAAGGCCCACTGCCCGAACATCCAGACCATATCTTCCCCGAGCTTATTCTTCATCAGCTCCTTGAAGAACTTCTCGGCCGAGGCCTCGTCTCGACAAAGGAATCTGGCCAGGCCTTCGAGGTTGCCCAGTCGGGACTTGAGCTAGGCCGCCTCCACTAGTACTTCCCGAGCGGCTTTTTTGGCAATAGACAAAGCATCCTCGGACGCCTTTAGCTTGTCACGGAGCTCAGTATTCTCTTTTCCTCGCCGCTCGGCGATTTCCCTCATAGCATCGGCATCATTGGCCAATAGAGCTCGGCACTGGAGATGCTGGATCGCTCGGGATAGCTGCAAAAGAAAACGCATTAGCTCGAGCGGTTACAGTTATACATGAAAATAAAGAAGTAGCAAAATTATACCTCGACCAGCTCGTGACCGCTCTTCTCGCCCACCTGCTCGGGCGTCAGCTTGGTGATATCCTCCTTGATCGGCCGGAGATTACCGATCCGGGTGAGGATAGACTCATCGCCCGTGATGGCCCCGCTCGGGGGGCTGTTTTGTTTTCGTCGACGCTTGAGTGCGCCCACTTCGTCCATGTCTTTCACGGCCATCTTTTCTTTCCCCTTACGACCGACGGCTCGGGGAGCCAATGCATCGGTCGTTGTCTCTACGACCACGACCCCTTCGGCCGTGGTAATCGTCGAAGCCCCTAGTGGACGAGCATCCGTGATGGAGCTACCTTCGGTCCCTTATCACCGGATGACCCGGCATCAGTTTTCTTCTTCCCGAGCACTATCTTGGCTCGGGGGGCTCGGGGTGCGCTGGCAGTTTGAAAGTTGCGTGGCGGACCCATCTCTGCAAACAAAAATCGCATGGTTAAGAAACGCAAATAAGATTACAATCGGGAGAGTTACGGTCGGGAAAGCTAGGTTAGCGTTAGACCTTCGTTGACCGGCTCGGCCTGAGGAGCCGCTACGGCGACCGATACGCCCGTTGGTCGGGGTTTGTACTTCCGGTCCAGGTCGTATTGAGGTGGCGGCAGTCGGGCGACATCGTAAGTTTCCCTCGTCCAGAAAACCTTGTACTCATAGATTTCACTAGAGATCCGGAAGGTTGCTTCGCGGAGGGCTTGGGACTCGACCGGCTGCACTTACTTCCTGTAATGCGTTCCCCGCGTCCGGTCGACCGGGAGAATCCATGGGTCGTACTTAACCGAGAAAATCCAATTCTTCCAACCTCGGTTGTTCCCGAGCAGATTATCAATTGAGCACAGATTGACCCGGGACTGGACCATCAGGAAGCCGCCCCCGTACTTAGCCTCCAAGGGCTTAACCTGGTAGATGAAGTTGAAGAGCTCCATCGAGCACGCGACGTCGTGCCGAGCACAAATTTGCGGGAAGCACGCCAATATGCGATGTGGGTTCGGGCATATTTGAGCGGGTAATACCCGGTAATAGCCCAAGAACGCAGTCAAGAGGGGGGAGAAAGGGAAAGCGATCGGGGCTTGCAGCGAATCGAAGTGCATCCCGATCCACTTCCCTTGGTGGCGTTCCTTTATGTTCCCTAAGCACCGTCGAGTATCAAATTTCACCCGACCGTTTAGCCTTGCGGAAATTTTCGACGCTTCGCCGGTCGTCAGCAGGCATTCTTGCTGCTCAACACTTTCACTGTTGAGGAAGATGAACTCCGGCGCGGCGGGTACTGCAGTCGGTTTTTCGTCGATCGGGTCGGGTGTGGCTTCCCGGTCATGTGCAGGAACAGAAGCCCCGTGGTCGGACCCAATAGTCTTCGTAGGCGTTTCTCGAACCTCTTCGGTCAGAGATTTGCGGCCGCTCGTTGAGGCGCTACTATCGCTGCCGCTGTCACTACTCGAGCCGCTCGACCCCGATGAGCTCTCCGAGCTAGAAGAGCTTTGTCGCTCAGGAACCTTGCTCGGTCGTTGAACGACCTCGGTGACTTTAGGAGAGGACGCCTTTATCGTTGTCTCCTCGCTAAGCTGCTCGACTGCGTCGTCATAATCCGCTCCCGAAACGTTTTGGTTGTCGGTGTCTGACATGTCCCCTTCAGAAAGGAGATGGCCGGGTTTTAGCGGAGGGGGTCAGTTATTATTCGGTCGGGGTTAGTGGGGCGCCGAAGTCGGCCGTGGTGCAGTAAGATAAAAGAAGAAAAGAAAGAGTAGGGAAACGAGAAACTTACCGATTGAGTGCTGTTTGCTGAAAAAGGTTGGAAGCCGTTGCTCGATCGATGCACAGTACTGCTCGCTTGCAGGGTGGTAAAATTTCAAATGAACCTTAGAAGGGCCTATTTATAGGAAAGATTTGGGCGGGAAAACGGCCCACTTGCGCGATTTGACCGTTGCAGACTTCAAGACGCGCAGAGGCCGACATGTGGCACGACAAGCGACAGTTGTCCGGTCGGGGTTAAAGGCCGAGTGATTAGACCTTTTCATCCCGTCCCGTTTTTTCCCGAGCGGTCAAAAAAGCCCGTGCTGGGGGGCTCTTGGTAGGATATATCCCGACCGACACAACTCGGCTTCTCCCGTTCTTTGTGCAGGTTTTACAGGTCGGACCCGAGCGGCGGACTTCCCGACTGGGGTTTTAGCACCCGTTCGGTGGGCCTTACCTTACGAATATAGCCAAGGATCTCGAGAAGAGGCACGTGGCAGTGTTACACGTTAACAGAGAGGGCTCGCCGGGTGAAGACGCGTGGAGGCTACGTGGGTTACATGCCGGCCGGCCGAGGTGTGTCTCCGGCCTAGCGGCTATAAATACCCACGGCGGCTACAGTGAGGGGGACTTTTGGACGATCGATAGATTATCTACAGAGCTGCCCGACCGCTGTCAGTCGGCCCTCGGGATAATTGCCTAGATTGTATTAGGTCCTTCTTGATCAGTAAAATATTTCTATTTATTATTAATTGATCTCATTTAAGTACTTGGACCGCTTAACACGTGGAATTAGTACTATCAGTAGGTATCTCAAATGGATATGAGCAGTCGGACTTGGCAAACGGAATTCGATCAGTAACATAGAATACCCTCAATAAGCTAAAAATTTCCAAAATTATTGAATCTGTGGGCGACTCCGGAAAATAAAAGATTGACTGGGCCAGTAGTGTTTTGACGACAAAGAATGTAACGCAGAGATGTCAAAATCTTCAAATGGCACTCCTGTGGATTCTTATCCAAGGGGCACCTTTTTTAGGGAAATTGGAACCATTTTTGTAGACAACACGCAAAATACTCTGGTTTTGACCTTCTCTTACGCAAAAGTCATGCAATAAATCATGTACTCTAAACTCCTTAATTTTTCTCCCACAACTACTTCTTTTGCTTACAAGAATTAAGTTTCTATCCATAAGTTCATTTATGTACCTTTTAGCCACTGCTTCAAAACTCTCATTCTTGAATGTATGCCTTTACAAGTCCTTCCGCAGCCCATAACCTTGCAAGGTTGTTAGCATTAATCTTATAATCTTCTAGAAAAACTCCTAAATAAAAAAATAATAATAATAAAATAAAAACATGCTTTCAAATTGTGGGGCAAGTGACTATAACTCAATGTGAGGAACATTCTTCATCATCTAGAGTTGATATTGAAGAACTTATTAGAGCATTAACAGTATTTTTACACTCATCTAGTGTGTTGAGTTTTGAAAAATAAACCTGTTACCACAACAATTGCCAATGGTAGTCCTTTACATTTCTCAACAATTGCCCTCCCAATTGTCTCAAATTCGACACCATGAGATTTGCATAACTTTTTACAAAATAAATCCCAACTTTCACTTGGATCTAAGAACTGCATTTGATGGGAGAAGTAATTGTTAGAGTCAATACAAATAGCCACCTCTGCAACGCGAGTAGTCAACAATACTCGACTCCCATTTATATCATCTGGAAAGCAAGATGTAACATCATTCCACGACTCTATGCTCCATACATCATCTATCACTACAAGTACCTTTGACACTTTAAACTTTGGTAGCGTTGTAATGCTAGGTTCTCATCACTGCTGTTTTTTAGATTGTCTTTAGAACCAAGAAGATCTATGAGACTCTTATTGTGATTGTGATACAACAACCCATATTTGCTTGTCAAAAGTGAGAGACAATTGATATGATGGATCTTCATAAACTCGTCTAGTTAACTAACGTTGTTTTGCCGATTCCTTCCATACCTCGAATTGAAACAACTTCTTGTTGTTTAGATGAATGTTGTATTAGCATCATCGTTATAGTCTCGAACTCATTGATTTTCCCAACCATTATGTCCTCACTGTGTGAAGCATGATTGGGGGAATCGTGCATCTTGACAAATTCATCATCAGATTTTGAAATAACATCATCATCAAGTGTAGTCTCCATTCCTGGCACAGCTATGACATGCTTGTACTCCATCATGACTTTCTCCAGCTCTTCTTTAATGGCATCAATGTCTTCTATTGCTTGTTGCAATACATGACTAAGTCTATGAGAATGCTGGGTTTTCTTATTTTTTGAGTATACTCAAGATTTTCACCATCGAACACTGTGACTAATCTCATCACTGAATTGTAGGCACCTCTTTTGGGTGGGACAACAGACATGTTGAGTTTTCTTAGCTTCAGTGTCCCCTTGTCTCATGGAGTTCAATTTCATCTTCTGGTCAGAAAGCTACATCTCTGAGCAAAAACTAATAATATTAAAATTCAAACTAATGTGAATGTTATAATGTGATGTGAAAAAGTTGGATCCACAAAATGAGAAAATAACGAGAGAAACATTGTGAATCTCCTTATGTGTTATACAAATCTCACTTGATGCTAAAAAGAAGACAAAAAATAAAACAATGTGTTGAACTTTGTTGCACGCACTACTGACAATTCCAAAACATTGGTAAGAGGATTACATTTAATCCAACCAGTGTTTGTTTATAGTTAACAGCTCATGTTTTCAAGGACTGATATTCTACTAATTAATAGCGTTCTTTTATATTCTACTAATTAATAGTGTTCTCACCGTTATTTGGAGTGAAATAAAAAAAATACCTATAAAGAATTATGAGTGTTTATATATATATATATATATATATATATATATATATATATATATATATAATCATTTTAAATCTTAATTATTATAACTTTTAAGTGAGCAAATATCATGATCCCAATTGTGATTTCAGCCCTTTTGTTAACACTTTTAAAAAACTCAGTTAGGGTTCATAAAATACTATATAGTAAAATTTGGGATGTCAATCTTAATCCAAAATCGATGGGCTAATTTAATAAAGCCAAAAAAGTTTGGGGTTGAGCCAAAAAAAATTGTAGCTCGATAAAAATGAGCCTAATAAGTCTGGTGGTCCGAATGGACTAACCCAATAACCCAAGTCACTTAAGGTTATTATTTGTTTCACAAGTGATGAGGAACAAAATATACCAAGAGTTTATATGTAAGTTCATCTTTAGTACTTGTTATTAAGTTTTTAAATAAAATTTAATTAAATTTATTACAAAATAAATTTTTTTATGAAAATAAATAATGAAATATAAAAAACTTTATATAATTATTATATTATAGTGAAAATATATATTAATTATTGACAAAAACTTGTGTGAGACCGTCTCAATCTGTTAGACGGGTCGGATATTTGATTAATGAAGTCAACAATTTGATCCATTAATCAAATACCCAATCCATCTCACGAAAGACGTTCTCATATAAGTGATACCTTTAATTATTTTTTATTGAAATTTGGAGATGAAGGTTTAGATTAATTGCATGATGTATAAATTTATATTTATTAGTGTAAATACGTTATTAGTTTATTAATTAAAATTGAAATTTTAAAATATTATTTAAAATGTCAAAAATTTTAATTGAGTTTACACTCTGTATAATAAACCAGACAAGATTTTAAGGTTAGAACCAAAAATTTTGAACCTCACCAAAAAAATCAATAAATTTAACAGCGTGATATGACAAGCTTGAAACCAATTGATCTTCCCAACTCCTAAGTAAACTTTTCTATAGACGTTATATAACTTGTTTATTATCAGCTTAATATTACATAAATTCTAAATAAAATTAACTTATGATATATTTTGATCGATTGATTGTCAAATCAAAATTATTTAATTTGACGACTAATCAATCAAAATATATTATGTTACACTAAATTTTACACCGAAATTAGTAATAAAGATGAGTAGTGAGATTTGGCAATATAATATATATATAATATAATTCTACTGGTCAACATACATATCTCTGCGTTCATACTTACGAGCCCAAACATGTTTTCCATTAACACGGAATTTAGCGATCGGCCCTCTACTCAAGACTTGATCAATGGTGGAAACCGAGCGAACCACCAATCGGGCATAAAGCGATTGCTCCGACGCGGTGGCCGGCGGCACCATCTTCACCGTCTCCACGCAGTCTCCGTAGTAAAGGTTGAACAGCTCCTTAACTTCCTCCTCCGACACCGGATACCCTCTGGAAAACGTCAGGAACATAGTCCGGTCGTCCACCGGGGCCTCGGCGGCCGTGGACCAGCCCCAGAATCCGCCGTTGGGGATAGCGAAATCCGGGCTTCTTGGGATAACGCTAATGGCGCCGAATGTGGGGTGGGGGAATCCCGGGATAGGGATAGCGGAGTCTGGAGTTACCACCTGGGATAGGGATACGGTTATCCCCGACGACATGACCTGCTGCAAGATATCGGCGAACACGACGGCGCAAACCTTGTTAAGAAACGCCTTGATTCCACTAATGGCGGCGAACTTGTTAGGGTAAAAGCGGTGGGAAGACATGGGTCTCCCGGTGACCAGAGACGTCAACGGCATGTCGTCCTCGCCGGCGGCGGCGGCGGCACCGGAGGAGGATCTGGGCTCGAGGCATTTCAAGCACAACACAGCTTCATTGGCCAACGCATCCACAACGGAATCGGAAAAGTCGTCCAGTTTATCGACGATATAGATGGTTTGGAAGTGGAGGTCTTCAAGCCAAAGCCATAACGCCATGACTAGCAGAGATTCCGCGGGGGTGCGGGCCAGGTTGATGAGAAGACGAGAGAAAACCCTTCTGTCAATTGTGTGGAACAAGTGAAGGTCTTCAATGGTGATTATTGTTGTTGCCATTATATTGTACTGTTACGTTATTGATGAAATGATGATGAGGGCATTTTTATAGATGCTCAGATCATAGGGCAGTTTCATTATTTTGGTAATTGGATATATTTTCATATGTAAATTGCATGAATCTTGGAATAAATAGTGCTGTGTTTGATAAATTATAGCATGATAAACTTGAATTGTACAACTATACAATTAATAATAATGCTATAAATCTTAAACGCCAGAGTACAACTTCATTCAACCACATTTTTTATTTTATTGGAAGAATTTAAAAAATGAATGAAAATCCTAACTTACTGAAATGATCCCTTGACTATAGCGAAATTACTAATTTGGCCCCGAGTTAACGGACGTCTAACGGTTTGGACCATTTCGGGTATTTAAAAAAAAAAAAAAACATAATCAAGAACTAAATTGAGAAATAATTTTGAAAGTCTAAAACCAGATTGGTGAAATCCTCATAGTCGAGGGACCAAATCGGTAATTAGCTCAAAAAATTTATTAGAAATTAACTTTAATTTCATTTTCGTGTTTTTTAAAAAACTATGATTGGTTGAAAAAAAAAAAAAAAAAAAAAAAAAAAAAAAGTTACCCCATAACACCAATAGCAATCAACTATATTAGGGAGTATTTTTCATTAGAGTGTGAGAGTAAAAATGGAATAATAAAGAGTGAGAGTAAAGTGTGGTATTACTATGTAATCAAATAGTAAATTGCATGAATCTCGAAGGAATAATGTAATCAAGAAAAGGTTAGGAATTAGATTTACATAATATAGTAAGCGTAGAGGATTAAGTGGGAACACTATGCAAAAACATTAATAGCCTGTTTGGTTATTAAAATTAAAATAATTTAACTAAATGATCAAATTTAGAAAAAAAAATTAATAGTCAATGGACCACTTTATTAAATTAAAAGTCAAAGATGAAAACTGATAAAGATTAATAGTCAATGAACGATCGAAGGATAAAAATTGATAAATGACAATAGTCATCAAGGATTATTTCTGAAATTAACTCTAATGTTAATTATTGCATATTTTTGGAATTAACTCTAATGTTAATTATTGCAGTTTAATTTGTTGAAAAAACATGTGAAATTTTCTATCAAAGGCGCCATCCAGTTGGCCAATACCATTGCGAATATAATATATTGCGATCCCGAGGTGTCGCAGATTCTCATGCAACGTTACGTTGAGGACTGAACACCGGCTTCACCGTCGTCCATCAGCCACAAACGTGCTCACAGCATAACGTTCTATTTTTAAGACAAAGTATGTTGTGTAAGGTGGACACAATTTCAAAATTGTTCATAATTATAAATATATAATTCAAAAATTACGAACATATAATTTTATAATTATGAATATAGAGTTGTGAACATTATTATTAACATATAGTTTTGTAATTATGAATATAGAGATTCAATCATTGTGAATATAAAGTTTAAAAATTATGAATATATAGCTTTATAATTATAAACATATTGTTCAATAATTATGAACATAGAGTTCTGTAATTGTAAATATAGAGTTCAATAATTATGAATATGAAATTCAAAAATTATGAATATATAGCTTTATAATTATGAACATATAGTTCAGTAATTATAAACATCGAACTGTGTCCACCTTGCAAGGTGGATACGGTTCCACAACATCACGATTGTATTTTTAAGGTCTTGCCCGTGTGTGTAACTGTGTAAGCTCATGTACATATAATATCGAAGTCTTGATGAATATTGTTGGTGTGACTTTATGATTTCATTGTGTATACATTGTTATGAATTTATGATTTTTTTTTTTTTTTTTTGGGATTTTGGACTAGTTATTGTGTTTGCATTGAACTTGTTATGGACTAATTATGGCATTTTATAAACTTGTAAATATTAATGTACCAGTAAGTATGTTTGGATGGTTGTAGTTTCATATGTAATTATGGTGACTGGTTTGTAATTTGTAAACTTTATTATGTAATTGTGTTAATGTATTGTAATGAATTGATGTAGTTGTATGGTTAAATTTTTTTAAATCATATTATTTTTTAGGCGTTTAAACAAGCCTCAAGCCAGGTCCGTCGGATGAGAACTGATGGAATTGTATTAATAGAGCTGATTACAATAAGTTCAGGTAAAGGGAATATATACAGTAAAGAGTCTCATAGGGACTAGGAGTAGGAGACCTAAATTGACTCAAATACATAGAGTCTTAATACTCGCCCTCATGGTACACTAGTGACTTGTAGCTTGTCCCTGAGTGAAGAAAATCTAGGACCAGGCAAA